TTGTGGATGCTTTTGCAGACTGCTTAGCATCAAAGAACATTCTTGGTTTGTCTTTTGCACGCTAATTTAGTGTTCACTGATCGCCAGCTAATTTCGATCCCTCTCTTCCAACCTTCCAGAAAAGACCAGGTGCGACTATCCATGACTACAGTCTCATTAGTCAAGATGCAGCTGCACTGTCCAAAGGGGCAGCTCTAATTAAGAAAAATAGGTTATTTATTAATATATATAAATAAAAAATTAAAAATTAGAAATAAGGAATGTTTGTTTAAATCATATACACTCATATTCAGCACCACAGTTGAACCCCGTCTTTTTAACGGTTAAGGCTTGATAAAATAAATAGAGTAAATTTTCTACAAGAAAATCGGTTGTAATTTAAACGGCAAAAAAGGGATGAATTTGAGAAATTTTAAGAAAGAAAAGCAGAAATTAACCAGATAGTACTCAAGGAAATGGGAAACTGTCAATTATTGGTTTTGGTGCAACATACATAAGTTGTAATTTTAAGTATATGTAAATATAGTGAGAATTTTGTGCATCATAAGGTCTATGTGGAAAAATATGGTGACAGCAAACTCCCATTTCAATATTGTACACTATAAGCATGATAAGGATATTAATCATGATACACAGACATGCTGCTATGATGTCCGGGCATCTTGGAGTAGCCCGTTTGCTATCCTAGAAAGATAAAAGACCCAAGGGTCACGCTGTACCTGTATTTGGCAGTCGCCTCCATCGTCACCGGTGATCGGATGTCGGCATTCGGTATCGCAGCGCTTGTTGCCGACTGAGGATGATTGGCATCCGAATACAATCGTTTTACGACGTAGCGATGTGTTCCGGATATTGACCACTTCCAGCCGCCACCTGTATCAGCCATCTATTTTTGGACTTTTCTATGTAACTTGGTCATTCAAATTGAGCACGGCAGGCCTAGTCACAATATTCAACCGAAATGCGAAGTGGTGCATTCGGCTAGGCTTGGGATCCTATTTTGCAAGCAAAACGTAAAAAGATGGATTAAGAAGTTTTCTTCTGCGACGTAACCTCGCTTAAACCGCTTTATTTCCTCAGCCATCTCATTTCATATTCTTGCCCATTTGTTATTTATTTTCCTCACTAATCTTATTTTCGTTCTTGCAAGCTAGTTTTTTACCCTCATTTAACTTGCTTAACTCTTGTTTATTCAATTATCATTTTGACTTATCATGATTTTCGCTTAATCGCTATCCTTAGTTACTTTTTAGGATTTTACGCATCAAGTGCAAATGTTTTCACGCTATCTGTTAGATACAGTATCTTATATGTGTTTGCATACGTGTTTATGTGCATATATGTATGTATTTGAAAT